TTTTTATCAATTTAATGCATCCTTACTAAATAAAAGCATTCATTTATTTAAAACAAAAAAATCTTGCTGACTTCAAATGTTTAGTAGGTCAGGTTATCTTAACATTTTTTTTTAATATATACATGAATCTGCAATAATGCACTATTGCCCAATTACTGTAATTTCAAGGAAATGGTCTTCAGAAATGATTCAGAAAATGATGCAAGTATCAACTACACAAGTTGCATGCCAACAGAGTCTCAAAAAGGGTTGAGTAATGTCAATATTTGTCTTACTAGTGTCAGGCACAGTCGCTGCACGTCCCGTCGGAGAGCGTCGATCCTGCTCTGTGTCCAGACAACAGCGTAGCGCAGTCTGACTGGCCCCATTATACCGTCTGTCTGGTTTGTTGATGAATGGAACCGATGTTTTAGACACTTCAGATCTGTGAAGAATAAAGTACAGTGAGATAACAGGTCAGTGTAGATCAGATGTAATGGGTAGTTCTGGTTTAGCGCAATATAGTAACATAACACTAGCAATGAACTGCTTAGGGCGTGCTTAAATTGCAACAATTAGCATTTATTAGTTAATTTTAGCATTAAATTAACACCAAGTAATATGATCATTGTAAATCTTATTCTCAACCACTGTAATACTTTCACCAGCTCTTGATCAACAAAGGTAGTTGTGGGTAATTGAAGCCAGGCAAGGTGACATAAGATTCATCAAAGTGAAAAGAAAGTTTAAAGCTCATGAAAACTACTAGACCCTTGAAACACAGTATGCACTATGATGAATGTTTAACATATGGCTGACGTCATTTACACCAACGCATATATGTAGCCAGGTATTAAAAGTACATTATTTTGAACATTTTTACTTTTGTCAGACAGCTATAAGTGAATGTTTCAACGAAACGGTTTCTCTGAGCCTTGTGACAGAAGAAATGCAATAGGGGGCTTTCATGAATCAAAGAATAAATGTTTCCAGATGACAATGTCCTGCCTGCAGAAGAGAAAAAAAGTAAAAGGCTGCAGAAATCCATTTGCTCCAGCATGAATCCCAGAGAGTGAAAAAAGGGAAAAGAATTTGAAGCCGGGTGCACTCATGCATATATCCTGCTGCCATGAGGAACCCTTCAGTGCAGAGCGGCCATAAATATAGGCCGTATGAGCCCACAAAATCATCCCTCGGTACACTACGCTTTCACTTCTGAGTGGTACGCACAGTTTAAGGTCAATATTTGGAATCCACATTGTCAGATGAGGGGGCGCAGTGTGTTTGAAAACGGGGGTGGGTCGGTTAAAGGTGGGTTTGAGGGCTCTCTGATGACCTACAGCTGCCGAAGGAGAGTACCAGGGAGACCCTAAACAGGCCTGTCATGGTTGCTGTAGGAACCCACTGACATAAGTAAGATATATGGTATAGGCACGGTATGCAGTGTAACAAACTAGAGTCTAATTGACAGGGATGTTGAGTTTGTGCTGGAATAATGTGTACTGTACTAAAAGAAAAGGCAGTTTCTAAGAACAGGTTATACATCACATTTTTAAAGAACAAAACAAAACAAATTAAACTGGAACTAAAATGTCAGACAAAATGCAGTTTAAACACATTTACATGACTGCTCAAAACTTAAGATTTTTAAGATATCTTCACTGCACAAGGATGCATTAAATTGATCAAATGTACCATTAAAGATTTTTACATTGCTAGAAAAAAAATCATATAAATGCTTTCTAACTTCTACTCATCAAATAAATGTTTATAACTTTCTAATTATCAAAGAATCCTAAGACTTTCCAATATTAAGAATGTTAGGCTGCACAACTTTTTTCAATATTTATAACAGGAAATGTTTCTTGAGCAGCAAATCAGCATATTAGAATGATTTCTGAAGGATCACTTGACACTGAAGACTAGAGTAATGATGCTGCAAATTTGCCATCACAGAAATAAATTACAATTTAAACTATATTAAAATATAATATTTGTTATTTTAAATTGTTTTAATATATTCTTGATCAAATAAATGCAGTTGAGCATAAGAGACTTTTCAAAAACATTCAAAAAATCCTACCAACCACAAACATTTGAACGGTAGCGTATGAATACGTTATTTTAAAAAAAAACTTAAATAATCTTGTACCATATTCATAATAAATGCCAAAAAGATAACTTTGTGCCTCTGAAAAAGCAGGACAATATACTGTATGCCACATTTGCTTAACGTCAATATCAGTCTTGTAGAAGTGAATAGAATTGTCTATATGACTAATCCTGCTGACAGGGTCTGCTCTGCTTTTTGTCTTCATGACTGAGAATAACAAATGAAGATGTGCTACTGAAAAGACTCTGACTGTAACCCACCGTCTGTAGAAATGGACAGATGAGCACACACTGAGAACAGTTAAAGGAACTCTCTAGACACCTGAATCCACTCCAAACACTTGGAAAGAGTCTCAATATTAGATCCAGCCATCTTACTCTTGGCGTCTTCAAACACTGACTGTGAAACAAGTCTGGCCAAAGAAAGTAGGATGGAATGGTTGCATAAGGGGTTATGAAAAAGTAATCAACATAAAAATACAAGGGTGGAGAAAAGTATTTTCTTCTTAACAGAACCAAGTGAGGTGGGTATCACTTAATAATGGCAGTTTTTTTTGGCGTACATACCATAGTAGCACTAGCCAAATGTCATGATAAATTAATATGCTAACCATTTAGTACCATGGTCCTAAAATGTTATGCTGGGCTATATTATCTCCAAAGTTTTTTGCAATCCAGATTCAAAAACTCACAGCACAGTTCAACATGTCACGAGTATCAAGTACAACATCACTATGTGCGCTAACCTCTAGGCCACAGCTCTAACTAAATGAGAGAAATTGAATACATAGTATGCTACATCTAATGCACACTTTAGATGCTGAAATACTGAAACATATTGGTTTTATTTCATAGCGTTCACAAAGAGAGAGAACAGAGCATATGTCTGGATAAGACAAACACAAAGCCCAAACATGACAGAACCTCCATCTGGCATACGTTAGCTCTCCCAACCATTAATTCCATTCTGTTTGATTCCATCTCCACTGTCTTCCAAACATCCACCTTATATACAAAGCAAACTTCTTATTTAGTGACAACAGAAGATACTGGAATAAAACAGCACTTGTGAGAGGATGAACTAATATTCCATCACATTTCTTTGTGATGCAGGATTACTAGATTTTAAATTCAAAACAGAGGATTTTATGATCAGTATTTCTTGGAAACCCAATGGCCTGAAAGTCTCAGTTTTCTTTTCCTGGAAAAGTGGAGGTGGATTGGACATTTCCTAACCAGTCTGCAATGGCTGTACTAGCGTCTGTCTTTCTGATAAGTGTCTGTAGAAAACGTTACAAGTCACATACTGAACCTCAAACCGTTCTTTTTTTGAGACACATAGGCTAAAAAACTACTATGTGTTTAAAGAGGAAAAAGACAACACTTACTCATCATTGGTTCTACCAAGCTTTCTTACTAAAATTTAGGGCAAGTTACAAAACCAAAACAGATGCAAGACAGAACTGTGGCAAAGTCTGTATCTCATTAGTCTGTGTATCACTTTTGGCTGCACGTCTCATCTCTTGCCTTGAACGAGGACTCTATTTTGGTGGTCAAGCTGCTAACAATAAGTTTCTATCTTGCGACTATATTTACACTGGACCGGAGTGATGTGCTAACGTGGGGCGAGCCCAGCTGTTTGTGGTTTAGACGTGCACTTCCTGTGTTTATTACAGCAGGATCTGAACTTCCAGACCAGAACCCCCTCTTGCACCCAGTTTACTTTCAAAGTATTTCATTGGAATGAAGACTCAGAGTAAAAGATGAGACAATTCTATATGTTAAACAACCACATAAATAACAACATTTCTACCCGTATGTTGCAAGGTTCTTGATAAACGCTTATAAAGCAATCGATTTATCTTGAGACTATGAAACAGATGTCCACAATTAAGACTAGGCACATGGTTGGTAACACGATATCCTGGTTAAGTAAGACTAGAGAGGCTGAGTCAAACTGGCAGACATGGACCATGTGTGGATGCCCAGATGCTGTTATTCTTCCACTATATGGTCTGAGACGCGGGAAATCACCTGATCTTGGTGGGGGATTCTGTCTGGAACCATCTTGAGATTCCAAACAGAACCAGACGGTAATTCATCAGAGTCCGAAATCTTTGTTATTACGAGGGCAGTCCCAGTAAACAGTTTTTGAAGGAGGTTCGTGAAGTGTTTACGCATCTTCACAAGTCATAAACATGAAACGAACACATTGGAGAAGAATCCAAATGGACTTAAACAGATTGAGCCTCGTGCACATTTCTATTTCAGACAAGTCAAAGTGTTCGCAAGGAAGTCGGAGAAGAAAGTTTTCGAGAACGTTTCTCCCACAGCTTGGGCAGTTTATTAGTGCTGAGGTCTGCAGAGAAGGAGTATCAGCTGGTTGAGGCTGGGAGGAGAAAGAGAAATGTTTGTAGCTGTGTTTGAAACTGGAAAAAAGTCAAGGTCTCGGGAGTTTTTCATTCTCAAAGTGCTTCGAAAATACTGGACCAAAAAATCATGCTGTATAAAATCCTTCTAAAGACAACATTTTTATGAGGCCTCATTTTGTTGGCATTTCTTTACCTTATTCAGACATAATAGAGGGGAATTTTCAAAGGGTTGTTCATTCCATCTGTCCAGCCCTGTTATTATGTGTTGAGGTACAACAGGTTACCCAGACACATTGTACGTGAGTCGGCCGCACCGCAGCTGAAATAATAGTTCTCTGAATAATAACTGATTATTTTAGAGCAGTTAGACGGCCTTACATTTAACATGTCAGTCTCTGTGATGTCAGCAGAGCTCAAAAAACTGCACAGACCTGATGATAAATGCAATGCTTTTCACCTGGTATGAATAGAGAGACATAAAGCACGTCTGAAAGCTGAGCGATAAATAGAGTAAGATGGTGGAAATTCATCCCCACTGAACAAACAGCCAAGTGTTTGCCTCTTCCTCCAGATGGCGGCTCTTGTCCCCCCTCCTCTCTTTGTGTTCCTCTCGTACCGTCTGTCTCTTTTGTCCTGAGGTCCGCCTCGCTGCGGTCCTCTTGGGGTCTAGACTGAGGGCTTCGGTCCATCTTGGATTCTGAGGGAGAGAAAAACGCCTCCAGGCAGGACACACACGGATGGTGTGTTTTTCATGGAAATGAACTGAACAGATCAGGTCTGTTCCCACCACCTCCCCCATGAGGCCTGGCCTTCATCTAAACCTCTTCCTCTTTCTTTATTAGGGCCAAGAGGGCTTCAGGAAACCTTACACAATATCTGTGAGATCTACACTTGGACTTTCTCTCATTCTAAATGACTGGAAATGGCTCATTAAAAAAAAGCAAATTTCTCCAGGGGCCGCATATCACAATAATTATTTTCCGTTATACTACCATTCAAAATGTTGGGGTCAGTAAGATTTTTTTTTTAAAGAATCCTGAAAAATAATAAGAAGCATCAAAAGAAGAGCAACTATTATAGAAAGCTTTTAAAACATTTTTACGTTTTTACTGCCACTTTTGATCAATATAATTTCTTTAAAAAGTACTTATCCCAGGGGTTTGAGCAGCACAACTGTTTTCAAAATTGATAATAATAAGACATGTTTCTTGAGCATCAAAGAAACAGCATATTAGAGTGATTTCTGAAGGATCATGTGACACTGAAGACTGGAGTAATGATGCTGAAAATTTAGCTTAGCCATCACAGAAATGAATTACATTTTAAATATTAAAATGCAGAATAATATTTCACAATATTACTGTTTTACTCTATTTTTGATCAAATAAATACAGCTTTGGTGAGCTAATAATGGACTTCGGAAACACTTTAGTATAGGGACAATTCTCACTATTAACTAGTTGCTTGTTAGCATGCCTATTAATATATTTGCTGTTTATTTGTGCTTATAAAGCACAACATATTCATGATCATATTCTACATCTCTAATTCTACCCAATACCGAAACTTAAAAACCACATTACTAACTATAAATAAGCTGCAAATGAGCAATTTATTGAGACAAAAGTCATAGTTAATGCTTTGTTAATACCGAAACTATTAAAAATTGAACTAACCCCAAACTTTTAAATGGTAGTGCATATTAAAAGTAAAAGGACACACATGAAGAATCTGAAAGTATAAAATGACCAAACATTCAGTGACAGGGCAAATTTGTCTAACTTCTCTTCCAGAACATCAATGAAGTCATATAATAACATAATATTGTTGTGCGTGCAGAATCTGGAGGAAATTGTACCTCTGACGCTTTGATCAGGTCCAGGTTTGTGTTATCACACATATTGAAGAAAGAAATTTGACATTGAAACAGTGTCTCTGAAAATGCAACATTTCCAATATATGACTACTCTGAAGAAAGAGATAATTAGTTTAATAGACATCCCTTTTGTGTGGATAAAGAGTCAAATATGGTTGATTAATGTCATGACAGATGGGGAGGTTAAAGCGGCAGGTGGGGGAACTGAAGTAAGCTATTAAACTGTGTGAATATTACAAGAACTGCATTAAGGTCTGAACAAAAAGGATATAAAAATAGCCAGCGGACACACCTCTCTCCAGATAAAAGGCATTACTCTCAGTGTGAATGGGTCAGTCCATGACCCGTGGAGCATGACCGGTATCCTCTTCGCCCACTGGCAGCTGCATCAAAAGCTATCCTCCACCGTTTTTGTTTTCAGAGATCTGTGTGCCCATTGGATGCACTCTAGGGACTTTTCAGCACTTGCCCATGTGGTGTTCGGGCCTCAAAGAAAAACCCTGCTCTGATCTGCCACATACCAGCCAGAGAGCTCTGCACGTGGCTAAAGCACAAAGCACGTTTATATTTCCCTCCCAAAAAAGAGCAGCTGAAACACAAGCCTCCTGACTGCTACAATTACTTTCATTTTCAGCAGACAGGTACTGCAGTTATTGCTAAACTTTGTGAACTTTGTTACTAGGTGAAAACAAATGCACAGTGACATACCCTGAAATGGAGTTTAAAAATCCTGGTAAAACTGGGTAAAAAAAGAATAAATACCAATATTTATAATATAAGTTACTCCTGTGATGGGAAAGCTGAATTTTCAGCACCATTACTGCTATGTTTACATGCAACCAAATAATCCGTTTGTAATCGGATTGACGGCTCAATCGGACTGAAAAGCCTTCATGTAAACACCTTAATAGACCGATTGAGCTCGATCGGAATGAAATTTCGATTGGATTGAAGGGGGTGGTTTATTCCTTTTCTAATACGATTGCGAGTGCATGTAAACACTCGATTGGATTGAAACTCTATATTTGTGCAGTGTGTGCATGTAAAAAAAAATCAATTCGGATTTGAAGCTTGTGACATATAAACGTGCACATCAACCCGATCACTTTATTTAGCGTTCATGTAAACACTACATTCAGATTCATCAATCGCAATGAATTCAGTATTAGTCACATGATCATTCAGAAATGATTCTAATATGCTGATGATTTGATGTTTAAGAAGCATTTCTTATTATTATAAAAGTTGTAAAAGTTATAAAAGTATTACAATAACACTTATGCTGCATATTTTTTGTGGAAACTGTGATCAATTTTTCAAGATTCTTTGATGAATATAAAGTTCACAGCATTGATCTGATTAATTTAAATCAATTTAGTGTAGCCTTGCTAAATAAATAAAAAAGTGTTCTTTTTTAATGACCCCTAACTTTTGTATATATATTTATTAGGGATGTAACGATTAACTGCGAGCCGGTTGAAAATCGATTCAAATATGTGATGATTCAAATCGGTTGAGATGCTAAACAAATCGCGATTCATTTAGGGGTAGGAGTTTATATGAATGCATGTCTGAGGGGAACTTACTGTCTTTAGAAAAGTTTAGATGGTATTTTTTTATACTTTTCATCTTGCCTCTATATACTGTATGTATATTGACTGTTCATCAATAGTTAATATATGTATCAGAAAAATCACCCAAACTAGAGGGGGAAACAATCTTATTACCCTTGATTTGGCTTTAGAATGTCATCTAGACACATTGCAGTCCAACAAAAGATACTGTATCTGGCAAAAATAGTTCAATAACTGCATGCAATGTTCTACTATATTCTTTTCAAGTGTGAAGACAGAGTAAATATGGCATAGAGATGAGAAGTCTGTTACTGTTTATGGCTGAAAATTAAAACAGCGGCATAGCCCAAGGAATTATTTACACCCACACTAATAAAGTTTACAAAGGACGCTGTGCTTCTGAATAACATACTCATCGTCAGCATCAAAAATATTTGGTATGGCAGTTTAATGTAAATACAAACAGGAACTTGCTTTTAGACATTCCTAAGCAGCATGCCGAGATCTCTAAACTTGTTGAGGGTGGTAGGAGTTGTTGCTAGGCTATAGACAGGGAGTGTTCATCCATTATTCTCTAGAGCGGGGAAACTGTTTGAAGATAGATGGGAACTTCCAATCTGTTTAGGTCAGGCCTTGCTGGGCTGAATGGAACTCTCCCCAAATGTGTCAGCTCCATTGTGATCTGGACTGAATTATTTGGCTTAAGAGCATCAATGGAGGGGCCATAGAAAGGCTTTTTGGTAAAGTTCACCACAGATTTTACATAGATTAGTGCAGCTTGGAGGTATAAAAGTGAATGTTTATTAAAAAAATGTCAACATGTCTCTGTCAGTAAGACCTGCATCTTACTACTGAAGAGATGGGATGACCACCTCAACATTCATTAATATATGTCTTTCCAAATCCAGACTTTTTATTTAAACTATCTGAAAAAGAAGGACACTATAGTCTTGAAATGACTGAAATAATGTCTCTCAATAATAAACTAAATATATCTCTGTAAATGAGAAAACACTTTTAACTCCAGACTTGCAATAAATCCACTGTTATCAGGATTGCTGTCCCAAAATTAGCACGCAAGAAATATGTAAACATTGATGACGTTAGGCCTAACTCCTTCTAAACGTAAATTAAATGGTTGCGCACTAGGAAAGTTCAATGACAGCCCAAGTATAAAACCCAAACTACGAAATGAGTGGCTTCCAGCAGTAGCTGTGCATAATTTCAGCTAACCAAAATGGGAGCCCATTTGCCACACACGTTGACAACTACACAAACCCAAACAAAACAAAGTCTGCGCTCGAGAAGCATAGAAACCACATCAAGCCAACCTAAATAGTATGTATGTTGGCACACTTTTGCACAATCAGAGCCAGAAAGTTCTGGCGGGAGCCATTTTAACTGAGACTAAACTCTGTTCACTGTGAGTCCGATCATTTGAAGATACAGTACACTATGTAATGAAACTGTTTACTGCGTTCAGTCTGGGTTAGATAATGCAGTAGCCTCTCTCAGAGATGTGCTGAAATCTCTTTGTGTAAATCCTTTTTTACACTCAGCATCATAAAACGGAGAGTACTATTTAATGAATCTAAGATGAGCTCTGCAATTTCCATAATACCTTTCAAACTGTTGTAAACATCCTCACTTGTTAGGACAGTTGCCAAATTGTCATGTTTTGACAGCATCTTTTACATTTACATCAGTGAAAACCCCAGAAACAGATGTCACAACAAATTTCTTCTTTATGTTTCCTGATTGCTGAAGTAAGCTATCCCAATGTAAAAACAGCCTCACCTCACCATTACAAATGTCTGTTGGAATACATGATCCCTAGTTAGGCCTACTGAATGAACGCTGTCAAAACTGCATTAACCAGCAGTTCAGTAAATAAAGTGTTATACGTTGTTTGTTGCTTCTGGAACTTTATGTAAGTGTTATACTAACCTGTAGAACAGAAGCTCCATCTCTAGCTGCTCAATGTGCCTCTGCAGAACAGACACATGACTGGCTTTGGTTTCCAGCTCCTTCACTTTCTTGAGGCCACTGAGCACAGCTTGTCTGGCTTCCTCCACTCTCTTTCTCATCTCAACCTGCTCCTTTTTTAGAGTCCTGTTACATTCCTCCAGCAACAGCATGGTCTCACGTGATACTCGCAGCTCCTGCTCCAGTTTCTGGTTGAAGAGCATGGCCTCCTCGATCTGCCCATCCCGGGAACTCCGGATGTACTCCACTTCTCTCAGGAAACTCTGGATGTCCTTCAGGTTTCCAGAAATGTTGGGTTTCTGAGCTGCTCGCCTTTGGTGGGCGATGAAACAGCCACCCTCTGGTTTATGTTTCGAGTGGCTTTTCCACAGGCCCACCTATGATACACAGAAACATGTCAGTAGAATGTTACAGCCCTTATGAAAATGAACCATGGTTTTATTATGGTAAAAGTGTAGTCTTTAAGATGTGGGTGACAAAAGACTGGGTTCAGATGTTCAGAGCTGAGTGGATTACTTACAAATTGCAATCCGTTACTGAATCCAAATTACATGACACAAATTGTAGTTAGTAATGTAATCCATTGCATTACACATTTTAGGTAATATAATCAGACTACTTTTAGATTACTTTTGACCTAACTCATTTATCACATTGATTTAAATAGGATAATCTTGTACTGTATTGGCATAAAAATACAAAGAGTAAGAAAATACATTCCATTTGTTGTTATTAACAACATGAAGTGCAATAAACATAAAATTACGTCAAGGTTTCCCAAACTGGGGTTTGTGAAGGAACTGCAAGGGGTTTATGAGTTCAATAAAAAGCTAATAATTAATTAAATCCTAAAAATGTTAAAATAAAATAAATCCTTTTAAAATGAATCAAAATTTTGAAGAAAAAATAAAAAAACTTACTAAGAGAATGAAATATTGTTATATTTGTTTACCTGCATGTCATGTGACTATCACTGTTGATGTGTTGCCACCTAACTAATGCTTGATCTCTATGTGAATGTCTACAAAACTGGAAGACTTTCTGAGTGTATGTAAGCAGTAGGCTATTTTAGAAAGGAAAAATTAAAAGACGGAAAAAGAAGAATTAGGGAGAATCAATTATGTAAAATTATTAATAATTTATTTATATTGTGTAAATAATATGTAATCATGAAATCCATAAAAAGTAGCCTAAATGTAGTCTAATTACGAGTATTTTAAAATGCAATTTAATCCAAATTATTTACATAATTTTTGGAATCTGATTTCGTAATCCAGATGACATGTAATGAGTTACCCAGCTCTGCAGATTCTGACCTACAACTACCTATAATTCGATCTAATAATCAAGTACACTTAATTTAGAGAATATTGTTGCTCGATTTCTGTAAGTTATTATTAGAATAAATCTATTGTATAAAGTTGATCACAATGACTGTACCTGTAAGGCCAGCGAGCGAGCGTCACTGCTTTGAAGAGCCGCACGCATGTCCTCCACCAACTCCCTGAGACTCGCATTTTCCTCCTCAAGTTTGGCTATCCTGTCCTCAGCCTCCTCGAGGGCCACAATTTCCTCGTAGCACTCCCTGGTGCAGGAGCCCAGCTGCCTACAACCTGACGCGTGTCTGTCCACAGTGGGAGAGGAAGGCTCTCCGCTTTCTCGCTTAGCGCTGGTACCCAAAGACAGCAGCTTCTTGCGGCGCCTCAAGGGGCTCCTGAGTCTGATCTGCGTCTCTATATGCTCGCTCTCCTTGCCAACCAACAACCTCCCATTCTCATACTGGCATCCAGCTTTGGTACTGAAATAACAGCAGAGTTTTGAGTGAAACTGCCTGAAGCTGAACTCTTTGGGTAGATTATCCAATATCCCCGCACACTCCTCCAGATCACTCTCTTTACTGAGTCCTAAAATCTCGCAAAGAATGTTAAAATCCTCGGCTGGGATTTTTCCATCTCCCTGACAGTCTAGGTGATGAAATATCTCTTGGAGGTATTGATCCAGCCCGGTTGCGAGGACTATAATTTCGTTTTCCACTCCACGGTCGAGTCCGTAATGATACGCCAGAGTGCTCACTATCCATTGTGTCCTGCGCGCGGGTCGGCTGTATGGATCGCATGCGTCCGACTTTTCCATACTTTTTCCCTCACAAGAATTCCATTTATAGCGCCTAAATGGATTAATGGATTCAACAGATCCTCTAAGCATACAAACAGCATACCAAGTTCAAGTTATCTGAACACCAGACCGCCCCACTCTTGTAGTAGAAACTCTCGCGCTGTGCGCATGAGGGCGTTGCTGTGAAGGGAGCACTGCCCACAAAATCTTAACTGCAGAGGGGGAAAAAAACTTTTGAAAAGAAGCTAACAATTCGATAGTCATTGTGGCGGTACACAGGATATTTCATACATATACAGATCATTAACTGATATCATGTATAACATATTAAAAAAACAGACTAAAATCTACTTTGCAACTTAAAACATAGGCTACTTCCCCGGTTTCACAGACAAGGTTTAGACCTAGTCCCTGACTAAAGCTGTTTCAACTGAAAGAAACTTGCACTGACTGGTCTTAAAATATATCAGTGCCTTTTTTTAATATAACATTTCTGTAATCTATATAACCTACCAATCAACAGTTTTTGAACAGAAAGATTTTTTATGTTTTATAAAGAAGTCTCTTCTGCTCACCAAGCCTGCATTTATTTGATCCAAAGTACAGCAAAAGCAGTAATGTTGTGAAATATTTTTACTATTTAAAATGACTGCTTTCTATCTGAATGTATTTTAAAATGATTTCTGTGATCAAAGCTGAATTTTCAGCATCATTCCTCCAGTCTTCAGTGTCACATACTTCAGAAATCATTCTAATATGCCGATTTGCTGCTCATGAAACCTTTTTTAATTATTATTATTATTATGAATGTTTTTTTGAGCAGCAAATCAGAATACCAGAATGATTTCTGAAGGATAGTGTGACTGGAGTAATGATGCAAAAAATGTAGCTTTGAAATCACTATAAATTACATTTTTAATTATTTGAAATAGCCTAGTAAAAATATTTCAAAATGTCACTGTTTTGCTGTACTTTGGATCAAATAAATGCAGGCTTGTTGAACAGAAGAGACTTCTCTAAAAAACATAAAAAATCTTACTGTTCAAAAACGTTTGACTGGTAGTGTATAGTCAACTTTAATTTTTCTCTTATTTTTAGCTTTTAATTGGCTTAGAAATCAGATAACTGCTGGACAATAACCAATAATAATGATTTGTTTATATACTACAAACACTTTTTTTTATCACATAATAAGGCAGAATAGTTTCAATAAATGCTATGTCAGCTAGCACTGCGTTGTTCATACACTTTATATATTACCTGGAGATGACTTGACAAACACAAATAAACCATATTGTCGCAATCGTATGTCTAATGTCTTCATGTTTCCAAACGTTTCTGTTTTTCTGAAAACAACTGTTTTCATACAGCGTTAGCTGGACGCTTTTGTCCATATTAGTGATTTCCTCATACGACTTTCTGCGTGAGAGGCCCTCAGGCTTCGAGTATGAGTGAAACACACACTGCACGAGTGTTTAGCGCTCCGTGATGTTCATCTCGCCTTATTCTGGGTCCGAATAAAACATCAGATCATGCACAGACTATCCTGTCTCTTTGAATTTAAATCTATATTTATAGATCCCCTGCGTAATCTACGCCCCTGTACTAAGTTTTTTTTTTTTACTGTAGAATGCTGTAGGCTACATATGAGTTATGTGGTTCATTGATTAAGCCATTATATTTATTTCCAAAAAAATCACAGTAGGCTATTTTGAAAATTACTGTTAAATCAAATGTTAATACATCTCATTATTGTTTTTATCCGTATATTCCAAGGTAACATATGATGTAATTAACCAGAATATTTGCATTTTTTTTGACTATATTATGTTTGTTTGTTTTAACCTTCGAAGATGCCTTTTTAGTACAAAGTTTTACTTTCCCTAAAGTTTTTTTGGCAGCATGGGAATAGTTTAATACGTTGCAGAAATCATATTTTCCTTTCAACCGTGTAGTAAGTAAAAAGCTTTGAAATGTCGATCGTTCACTGTGTAACGACTGTTGACTGTAGTTACAGTTCCATGTGCCGCTTGTCATTTCCTATTTACCAGCGCGACTCTGGTTGTCAAGGCGACGCAAAGCATTCCATTTAACAAAAGCCAACGTCACAAAGTTCTCCAATGCTCATGCGATCAATTAAAACATAAAAGTAGCGCCGAGGAGAAATGCTGGAAAACTGCTTTCAGTTATGGTAAGTTTTCTGATGAACTTTATAAAATAATAATGCTTATTCAACATGTTTAAATAAATAAATGTAAAAAAATCATTGTTTTTGGATGTTGTTCTTTTTGTATTGTGCTATCTGAAACTATCACATATGCAGTATCCTCATAGTACTTTTTTGTGATAGTCCTATATCTCCTTATCCAGCATTTCTAGTTGACAATGGAATGCGCTGACTTAGCATCACCTGACAAAGAGAGAATTGATGAAGACGAGAAGATTCTCAAAGAATTGTCTTCAAACTCCACACAACTCACAGACCGTGAATCTGATGCTGACAAAAGTAAAGATCCATATATGGAGATGCCGGAATCCAGTCCTGAGGATGAACAAACCATAACAACATTTACAACAGACTCCAGCTACATTGTCACCTGTAGAGTCAGCATTGCATTAGCTATCTTGAAAGGTATGGCGGTGGTATTGTTTCAATGCACAGCGTTTCAGATCTATATATGCAATCTGATGTTGCATTTGAAATATTTTTTCTTTACACCAGCAAAAGAAATAAACTCGCATTGTTTTGCCAAAACTGTCTTATACACATTTTTAGCATTATTCTTTATTTTCTTAAATCAAGCAGAGCATGAGGAGCATCTCACCAATTCTGAGAAAAGAAAAAGAGAGACAAAGAAAGACACATCCAGTGAGGTAGTGGAGGCCCCCAGAGCCAAGGGCTATTATTGCATTGAGTACAACATGCTGCCTGATGACCCTGAACCAACCAGAGTGGATCTAGTGATGTTCGGCTTGGCTGCTAAACTCTACATGGCGAATGAGACTAAGGTAAACTATTGGAATTAATTAGGGCTTAATTCTAAGCAAGAGCTTGTAAATGATCAATAATTTATATGTAGAATAATACTACTACTTTGACCTGATAAACAAACAGTTCTTGGTGTTGTTAGTATATGTTAATAAATTATGCACAAGGATTTGCTCCACTGACCCAAAGAAAGCTGGTTTAGAGTTTCAGTTAATGGCTTCTTTGGACTTCTATTGTGCACCTTGCTGTTTAGGGGCGAACACCTTTTGTCTACCACTTGCATGTGTATTTTTTTTTTCTCAGTGACAGTAAATGAATTGTATATACACTAGGCTCACCAAGGCTGCATTTTTAAAATCAAAATATTTGATCAAAATACAGTACAATTAGTAATATTATATTAAATATTATTACTGTTTAAACTACATGCTTTAAATTTGAATTTATTTAAAAAATTTAATTTATTCCTGTGATGGCAAAGCAGAATTTTCAGCATTATTACTCGGAATCACATGATCCTTCAGAAATTATTCTAATATCCTGATCTGCTGCTCAAGAAACATTTCTTATTATATCAATGTTGAAAATAGTTGTGCTGCTTAATATTTTTGTGGAAACTGATTTTTTCCCCAGGATTCTTTGATGAATAGAAAGTTCAAAAGAACAACATTTATTTGAATACAAATTGCTTGCAACAATACAAATGTCTTTACTGTCACTTTATGGGTTACTGTCAATTGAATGTGTTCTTGTTGAATAAAAACATACCTTACCCCAAACTTTTAACAATAGTGTAATTCTATTGTTGTCTTTGTGAAACAAAATAAATCTCCATATAATAATGAAATCATGTGCTATGTGTTCTGACAAGGTGCTGAAGCCTTGGCGAGAGGGAAACAAGGTGTGGGTGAGTTGGTCTCAGACTTTAAAACTCAATGTCACCAAAGAGCTCCTGATTAAATTGGCCTCCCATAAGATCATTGTGAGAGTATGGGACAGCAAAGACAAGGTGTCTTTCAAAGCCAGGAATGACAGACCCAAAGCCTTCAGACTGCCACAGGAGAGGACTGGAGAGGATCCAGAGCAAATGGGTATGATCTACCCATTTTATTTATTGCGCTTCCTATTAGGATTTCCTTCATTGTAACGTTGGTATCTTACAGCAAGATCAAGATTTTAGACACCACAGAGTTTAATGTCTAAAGTGAAATGTGTCTAGGATAGATGAAAAACAAAATCATTTTTAACTTACCCAATTACTTAAGGAGAGGACTACTGATTTAAAGACAGTAATTTATATCACAGTAGGCAGGAAAATGAGTGTAAATCTCAGTTCAGTACGACAGGTAATTGTGAGATGGTGAGATCTGGCACTTACATCCTCACTTTTTTTACAGTGCTGTGAGAATGGAGAATATTATACGGAAGTAGCACAAAGTACAATGCAAACATGCAGCATTTAGTCATCATTTATTTGAATAAAAAATTCCTCAGTGATTTAAAATCACCAAAATTCTCACTAAATGTCTTCAAAGGTGGCATCAGGAAGATGATTTGTGAGATGAGAGCTGTCTATGAGAAGGAGAACATAAAAATAAGAACATCTATGAAAAACCACAAAGATCTAATATCATCAGACTATAGGAAGCATTTGGAGCTTCGCTGTGCCACAGGTACAACATGATGCTGATGTTTATACTGTATGCTAATAAAAGATTTATGATGGTGATTATTATGTTTTACAACAACATGAATAGGTTTGATTGTGTATGTGGTCATACTAATAATGAAGAACATCTATGAAAAACCACAAAGATCTAATATCATCAGACTATAGGAAGCATTTGGAGCTTCGCTGTGCCACAGGTACAACATGATGCTGATGTTTATACTGTATGCTAATAAAAGATTTATGATGGTGATTATTATGTTTTACAACAACATGAATAGGTTTGATTGTGTATGTGGTCATACTAATAATGCCAAAGTATCCTTAAAATGAAAAAAAAACCACAACATAATGTTTAAAAACCAACAGCTGAATCCAAGTCCTCTACAGCTGAAACACTTTAACTATTTGATAGTACAGTTCAATTAAAATTTTTTGGTTTTGATAAATTTTTGAAATAAGTCTTTTATGCTCACCAAGGCTGCATTTATTTGATCAAAAACAGTTAAACAGTAATAGTCTGAAATA